TCATAATACATTGACCACAAACCAACGACGTTTTTAAACATAGATGTTTTTAAGCATCTATGTTTTAAATGGATGTTTAGTAATTTCTAATACTAAATTTGTTCACAAAAAAATTAATTTGAGCGTCCCTGCATGTTAATTTATAATTATGATGTAATTGAAAATAAAGCAATAATATAGCTATGAACAAAACTATACAAAAATATTAACAAATGTATCTACTCCTAGTTAAAATCAACAGCTATATTTTATTTCTGTTATATAGGGGGTACAATTCTGTTTATTCTGTTTAAGCTACAGTGTCGGTGCACTTGTCCTGTTAATTGCTCTGTACGATATTTGCATTACATAAACGTGACGAGTTCATTTGATAAATTATCCAGGCCAAACAAGGCCGTAGCCTAAACGGTCCAAAAATGATTTCTGACCATTTAGTGAATTTCTTATTCCTTCAAACATCGAATAATATATTATAGAAGCCCTGGGCCACTTGCTTTCTCTGGGAACTCCTGTGGCGAAATGTGAAGTTCGTTCTTTCAATTACGCCCTGATGCACTCAGAGGTGATTAGAAAATTGCAAAGAGAACGATGGTGGTTTTATATTAGACAAACCTATTGACTATTCACATAATTGTGCGTTATCATAGTTTTTGGCTTCAACTAGTTCATATTTTGATTTTATTACATTTAAAATTATACTACCGACTCATGTGGATTTTTTTCACGTTTAAAATGTTTATTTGCATCATGAAAGTACATAATAAAAATAAATTGTCATCAATAGAGTTACCTAACTCGTCTATTGTTAGGGATAGAAAGATACATAGAAAAGTATCAACAGATTTTTTAAATTGTTTCATTACTAAATTACGCTTAATTATCGTCAATCCGATAAATTATGTCGTAACGATCCCAGTTATGCCGAAAAATCAGAATAGTAATTCACGTTTCCCATTGAAAGTGCATTGAAATCCGCCCCAAATATTTTTTAAAACATTTTTTTCCAAAATATTCTCTAAACATCAGTCTAAAAATAGTCAATCGGCGTGCCTTGTCCAAATGAATGTAATAAGCAATAACTCATCCTACAGGTGTAGGTGCCTTATAATTCCCCAAACCTTGTCTAAGAGTTTACCGTCCCCCCCCCCCCAAAAAAAATGTATTTCGAGAATTCTCTAAGAACGATCTCCAACGATCCGAGGGGAAACTGTCAGTTTTCCCCCAATAAACCGTGCTGCATTGAATGACATTTCACTAGTTCCAAAGAGTGGACTATTGGAACACTTCACATGGTTCTGAATTTAGTAACTCGCCAAAGTGTTTGATTCTGGAAACACTACACCCAGCAAGGAGGCACGGATGCCTCGTGAGTAAAGTGGGTGGGCATATTTAACTTAAAATATGGGCAAATAATAAAACGTGAAATCATGTGTGTGAAAAGGAAGAATATGAAAATCCTTATAGGTCAATAAGGCTATTAACCATTACATTTTTTGTTACTAAGTTGTAAGTAATCATCGACAGGGCAGTGTTCACGTCCGAAGGGCCCGGGCTCAAGGCCCCCGATAGTCCTTAAAAATGAATACTAAATTTTTCAAAAATAAATAAATAAATAAATAAAAAAGTGATGCATGATTAAAATATACAAAAAAATAGCATAATGGAGTGATTCTTACATACTTATTCATATATATTTTTTCTTTGCGTAATCTTAAATTGAAACACCAAAAATACTTTCAAAATATTTTGAATAAGTTACAAAATATAATGTTAATTAATGGGATTTTCTATATATTTCAGCACTGAAATTGGGAGGGGGAATACCGGTGAAAGTAAGAATAGCGGGCCCCCAAAGCTGTAAAAACGGCCCTGGTCATCTAAGTTCGCCGTCTAAAACAAGAAGGCGGTGTCAACTCTAAGAATAAGCTCCCTTTTCCAATAAACTTTATTATTTATAATACTTATTTTATTAGAAAATAAATAAAACACATATAAGGACAATGAAATTTTAACTTGAGTTATACAATTATTAAATAAAGTGGACTATTTATAGGGTTACTAAGGAGGTTGGAGAGAATCTTCACATATTCTCACAAATTGTCAGATACAAAAGGTGTAAGGAGTTAACATAATTAAGGAAATATAATGTATTACACAAGGGATCACTTCCAAAATTTCCAAGGGCGCCCGGCCTTGAAGCTTCCCCCCCCCCTCTCTTGGGCGCACGCCTATGTACTGTATTTGTACGATAAATTATGGTGACAACTGGAAGTTTTTCGGGTCCTACGTATCTCCAATTTGTAGATGCGTACAAGTCACGAATTCGACTTAATGAAATGTACATCTCAAAAAGTAATTGAGAAAGATGCCCGCCCCCATTAATCGCCTAATTTTGATACGATGCCTTCTTACTCCCCACGGATGAGAGATCGGAGGATGATACTGCGCATGAGGAGCGAAATTCATCATGGGAAATTATTAAAATAAAATAAAGTTATTTTCAAATTCAATAAATCCTAATGGCTAAATTGGCTGGATAAGTTTCTTGAAAAATATTCAAATTTCGTCCCGGAATATTCGAAACCAAAGGTGATTTGCAAGTTATCTTATTCTTATAAACAAATAAATGAAATAAGATAGATTGTAAATGTTATGATTAATTTTGAAGTTCATACATACTCCTCTCACTAGGAATACAATAATAATTAATAATGTAATATAGGTGCTGCGTAGTTAAAGTGGCCTCACTTATACATCTTCAAATATAATAACATCGTGCTATTGTTAAATTAAATGTGATTTTTTTCATATAGACCCTCATATTGACAGAAGATAAATGAGAAGTGGAAGCAGTTTCTAAAAAGTGACAAGAAAAATATGTTTTCTTTCTAGTCATGTACTAGGAACATTGTCATAACCTAACATGCCATTAATGTGCATACATCGCCTACATACCCAGCAATATTATTTGCTTTCAAAGAGAAAGTCAAATGAGAAGAAAGCTTTTCAGTACATGAATGTTTACATTACCTAATCCTGACATTTGTTTCAAATCCTTCGTCGCATGCCGCAAGCATCCTATAAAATCCAACACTCCTATATACTGACTTCGTCAAAACACGTAGGAGACACAGCTTTCATTCATGGCTTCATGAGATTAAATCAGTTTAATTTTATTGACAAATCGAAACATACAGAACATGTACAGGATTTTCTGGCAAGTTAACGCCCCACAAAACACCAACCATTTGGCACTCTACGCCATTACACGAAACAAACGCCAAAGGAAAACCAAATAAAAAAATACCTCGATATCCCGACCTTCACAAATCTCCCTCTGTAAGCTCTGCTGCGATTTTTACATCACAGAACCATCTGTTGGCGAAATGTCACACTACAACACTTTTGACTAGTTGAGCCCGCTATGGTTAAGATTACTCTCAGAGCTGAACTGAATGCCAAATTATAATTTTCTCCAGCAGAGTCGCGTTTTGTGATTTTAGTTGTAAAAAACCGGAAATAAATTCCCTTGGTTTATTGTTAATATATTTTAACATTATATACCGTGTTTGCCGACATTTTTTAAAGTCTACAAGTGAGAGTTCTAACACTCATAAAATTGTACGTAATGTAATCTCCAGTGATATCGCGCTATGTATTGTAGTCGTGTTCCAGGTCATTGAACTTTTGTGAAACAGTAATAAGGTGTGACTAGATTGGAATTTGAAAACTATTACCCACTTCCTATGAAACGCCCATTAAATGTAAATGAAAGTCCAATCCAATCCAATCCAATTCAATGAAAAGAACTCCTCCTGTCTTAGTTCTTGGGCCCTCTGATATAGCCATTGACATAGTTGAATCATTAAAGGTTCCAAAGGAATAAATGAAAGATTATGTAGTGAACACACGTGAACACGTGTAGACACGTGAACTGTCAGTACTGTAGTTCATCAACATTTTAGAAAGACTTGTTTGGAATGGTGTATTCAATTAATAACCGTAGTTCATTTAGTGTTTCGTCCACACATTACTGATGAGAAAAATAACATTTAATAATATTTTTTGTTCTCTTCGAACTATGTTGCTTTACGTTTTATCTATTGACTCGAGAACATGTAATAAAACTAGTTATATGTGAGCGTGAAGTGTAAACGCTACTTTGCCCGATTGATCATCAACCCTGAAAACACATCCGAAAGTCCAACGGTTAGGAATGACTTCGCACCACTTGGCAAGATTACATCTGATCTCATGTTGATTATGACAGTTCGTCATAGAAGGCCACTGAAAGTACTTTTTTGCTAAGTATAACAGGTTTTTGGTAAGTGAACATGTGTTACGACATAGTATAAAATCTTGGTTTGTGGAAACTTGTTAGAATGGGATCGTAAAGGTCGTGCTGGCTTCAGTGTAAATCAGATGTACATTTCTTCCCGCTTTTTCATTCAAGATTGTTATTCTTTTCTATTTTTATACTATTGACAAATTTAAAATATTTTAATTTATCTGTTCGAATATACGAAATTATGTGTTTCATTCATATTTTAAACAAAATAAATAGAAAATAATCGCAAACATTTGCTATTAAAAACATTTACCACAATGTTGTTATAATATGAAGAATTCAATTTTGTAACAAATGTAATATAGAACTAAAAAGCTAAGAAAGCCTATTTTCCTGCCCGCTCACTAATATTCTTTCTTCCCCCAAAATCCATTTGTTATGGAGTCATTGTATTTGTTATTACATTTATAACAGTTTTATGACCTTTTCTGAATTGATTAATATCTGAAGGGAAAATTTATCTTTGGAAGATTTCCTCAACAATATTAAAGTGTTATATGATTAACTACTTTTGAAAAATGAGTCTTCATTTTGTATTAGATTCAATATACTTGATGCATAAATGAAAAATCCCATAACCCTGTGAAATTTATCAAAGAATTTCTTAGAATAATTTAGTTACTAATATATATTTACCTTTGTTTCTTTTCAGAAGAACATATCTGGTGAAAGTTTACAAAAATGGAATATCTTGTTGATCCACCACAGGGTCCTCTTGACCAGTATCGGAAGCAAGCAACATTTGATTGGAAGAAAATGAAATTAGTTATTGAAGGAGAAAATATCGTGAGGCACAAGGTTAATAGATATGTCATTAGTATTTTTAACACGACAAAGCTGAAGAACAAATTGAGAATGGCTGCCAAATAATTCTGTTATACTACTTTTAGTTCAAAATATGGAAGACCTTGGAATCTGATCCACTGTTTGAACATTTACCTGAAACTCCACCACTTGATGAAGTAAGACGATTGACTACACTTCGTGCTCAGAGAGTCTATGATTATAATTTCACAGATCGAAGTAATGGAGAGCCAAGTACTGAAGAGGTACATAAAATGTTTTTATTTTTCATAATTACACATGTAATTTCTAGATTATTTTTATACATTGTATTTTCACTCTTCAAAGTATGACTGCCAGGAATCACACCAGGTCTCCCTGTATAAGCCCAGTTACTCTTAACACTTGAGCTATCAAGACAGTCAACTCTTTAATGAGCCTCAAGGAGGTAACAGCTCTAGAGAGATCGTAGTTTGACTTCCAGCTGGGGCATAATTGTTAAACTTTCAAATGAGACCAAGGGGTGAATGAAGTGAAATAAGATGTCAGCCAAAAACTATCCGTACATGTTTTTTAAATTTTGTTACATTTCTATTGAATTAGATAAACCCTACTTATAAACAATCACACAATTTTCAAAATGATTTTATGAACTATTTGAGAGTACTTCATCTTCTAAAAAAAGTCTTTAATAATTTTTGTGATGAATTAAATCAGTATTCTGACTGTTTACTGATTTGTTTGATTTCTATTTCAGACTCTTGCAGAAAATGAAGCTTTATTTATGTATGATCCTAGCTTGTTATTGAAATTTACGGTGCCTTTGGGATTTTTCCCACTAAGCATTCAAGGACTTGGAAGTCAGGAACAACAATTGATTTACCAAAAGGCTATGTCTCAGGATGTAAAGATTTTTACATTTAAAAAATATTAATTGATATATCTGTACATATATTTTGAACTTGCAGTTAATTTTACAAATTTTTCATAGGTATGTGGATGTTTTGCATTAACTGAAGTGTCTCATGGAACAAATGCAAAACAAATGCGAACTACAGCAACATTTGATCCCCAAACTCAGGAATTTATCTTAAATACCCCTGATTTTGAAGCTGCTAAATGTTGGATTGGAGGATTAGGTAAGTTATTAAGTTAATAAGTTCGGTTTATGAAAGATTAATGTCTTGGGTAGTGGATTTCATTGATTTATTGCCTAATGCTTCACCCGGGAGAGTGTTCATTAGGTCTGTGATACCGAATCAATTAATTGTTTTTCAGTAGACGGCTGCACTTTGGAGATTTGTTCTTTCATATATATTCTTATATCTCTCGCTATTATTCAATCTATTATAATAGTTATCTATTAGATAAACCTATTTAAATCAATTTTGCCAAATAAAAGAAGATAACTAACAAAAACTACACCTACGGGAGGGGGGATATATATATATATATATATATANNNTTGCAAATTCGTAGAATTATGAATACTCATCTCCCTACTGTAACACACTTGAAACGCGTGCTTCCCCCCCCCTCCCCCCGGCCGATAAATTCGTAACGCTTTCGACAAGCCTTCCCCTCTCCCATTTACATCAAGTAAAAATAAATTATAAAGCAGTAACAAGAAGTTGTATTAATTTAATTTGTGTTGTGTATTCAGTCAGAATTAATTGGCGATGCGGACTGCACACAGTTTTTCAATGAAGAATGGACGGATAGGCACGAAAATCGACAAGCCGTGCACACATCGCCCTGGATGTCGCGTGGATTCGAGAATAGTACTCGCAGTATAATATAGATGTTTTCAATATTTTCTTGTTACCTAACAGATTTTATAAATATATCATTTATGACAAATATTTCCATTTATTGTAATAATTTACGCATCATAACTTTATTTTATTTATATTTTTAATTTAGTTTTACTTTTTCACCCTTAAGCACGCAGTCACTTTGTACATTTTTTAAAACATTTTTTCCAAAATCTGTTAAACATTTAATACTTTCCCTTACGTACGTATATACAGCGTAATATACGTAGAATACGGAAAGTTATGTAATGGAATCATCGGAAATGCACGTTCTTGGGTCCCCTGATACCGAAAAAGTGTTGTTGTTTTTTTCTTCTTCAAAACGGTAGTTTGTCCGTCTAGTGTTTGTCTGTCCGTCGGTGAACACTACTAGCGCCTAAACCATGCGTAGGATTTTTTCTAAATTGGAGAAACCCCTGTCCAACTGGCTCGAGTCGCAGCTTTGAGATTTTGAAAAACATTCTTTAAAATTTGGGATTTCTCTTTATGAAGCCCTCCGGACATTTTCAAAATGTTCTCAAAAACTGCTCCAAATTTGTTCTTTAAATTTCTTGTAAGGATAGATTAACATACACTTACAAAAGTGCCGTAGGTATGATTTTCACGATTAAAGGCCCATTCACAATGCAAACATAAGTTTCGAAAATTTCAAAATTATATTTTTATTCGTCTTTCTACAACTGCAAAATTTTTAGATAGAGATTTTTCTTCAAATGGAATTTGTTGTCCATAATTTGTTCTTTTAAGGTCATGTAAATATTTTTGAAAAAAAATCAATATTTTTCACACGATGTTGCGCGTAATACGTGCTACTTTAAAAAATTACAAAAAACAGATTTTCTCAAAAACAGAAATTTTGTCTTCACTTTTGATAGGGATAGTTTTTTTTTACTTTCCCGTATGTATACGGAGTAATATACGTAGTATAACGAAAATTATGTAATGCTACGGAAAATCAATTTCCAAATTTCAGCGGAAATTCACCTTTTGTGTTCTCGTCATAACGAAAATGTGTTTTTTCAAAACGTCCATCTGTAAACCCAATAGTGCCTTAACCGTAAGTAGGATTTTTTCCAAACTGAAGAATCCTGTGTCCATCTGGCTCGAGTCAAAGCTTTGAGATTTTGAAACAAATCTTTAAAATTTGGGGGTACTTTACATGAAGACCCTGGGACATTTTCAAAATTTTCCCTAAAAGGGCACCAAATATTTTCTTTAAATTTCTTGAACAAATAGAGTAAAATACTTATAAAAGTGGCAAAGCCCAATTGTATTGGTTAACTCTGAATTTTCAAAATTTTTTAAACTTGAAAGAAAAATTTGGAGCTGTTTTTAAGAGAATACCGATTGAGCGTTTGGGAAAATGCGGAATTTTGAGCTAGTTTTCATAGAAAACAGTTGAGTTTTCAAGAAACTTTTTATGACCTTATTTAAAGCACATGTACTTATAAATACAATAATGTGAACAAATTGCGGCTTTCATGAAAGAAATCTAAGCCTGTTCCATAGTCACTTAATAAACAATTTTGCTTGATTGTATAAATGTTAAATGGAGAAACAGTGTACTTATGTATGGAATAGAATGAAGAAATAGAAATGTGTATACACGTCTAATTCCTGTTTTGAAATTCATCCTTAGTCATTCATTTGTACATTTCATTTCATTCAATTTTTTAAATGTAATTAATTATGAAGTGTTGTAACTCCTAAGTGGAGGATGATGGGGTAAAAATATTTGCATCTTCGGATTCACCAGATTCAAAATAATAAAGATTACCATGTGTTATTGAAAATAAGAGATATTTACAAAAATATTGGTGTACAAAATTGTTAACATTAAAGCATTTAAGTGCAATTCTTTGTGTCGTGATTATGGATCATCTATATTATAGAGAAAACGGGGGAAGCGGGGGTCCAAGAAGCAACAAAATTGCTTAAAAGGTTCTATGAAATGGTTGAGAATCCCTGCTGTAGGTGGTCATGTCCAATCAAGATTACAAAGATAGGATTGTTTCTTTCCATGCAAGTTCTGATGTAATTTTGAATAATTTTAATAAGTAATTTTACTTTCATGCCCTTACGTACGTAAGAAGAGAAAGTGTTGTAATCTTGCACCGAAAAACGGCAAATATTCGACCGAAAAATCCTATTGCCAAACCCTGATAACGAAATCTTGTTTATTGTATAAAGTAAATTACTACCTCTAATAGGTTGTGTAGTCAGAATCCGTGTTTTGGT